AAACATCACCTTTAAAAAACCCGACCCGAACTCAATTTTTTTTTTTAAAAAAAAAACACTGATTGGGTCGGATCTGGTTTGGGTCCCATTCCCATCCCTACTTGAGAGACAGTGGTACGCGAGGTGGAGTGTTATTGATCAAACATACAGAGATACATTCATGTACAACATAGTTACGAGATACATTTATGTATTCGAGATCATATGTACAATATTGTTGTGTTGTACAGTACCTGTACATTCACGGTGCACTTACAGTGCAATCATAGGGAACTAAATGTGCCATACAACTACAGACCACATGCAGCTATGCTATATATAGTATAGTATAGTGCACCTGCGATGCAATCACAGGGCACTAAATGTGCCATATAGTCATAGATTAGAAGCAGCTCTGTTGCACACAGGGCATAAATGTGTCACACATTTGCATGCATTTTATACTGCACATAGCAAAAAAACTCAAGCATAGACTCACGTGTCATGTATTCTTATGATTATACATTGGGTCATAAGAAAAAAGTAAAAGATACAATATATAGTAAGAGAAATAGTATAGTAAGAGAAATAGTATAATAAAAGAAATTATACAGTAAAGGAATCTTCATAGAAAAAAGAACAATACAGTGAAAGGAATGATACCAAAAAAAAGAATAGTACAATGAAAAGATTGGTACATGAAAAAAAGAGTAAGTATAGGAAAAGAAACGATACAATTTTAATTATTATATTTTACAGTAAAATTTCATTAAAATAGTGTAAATTACATTGAATAGTTTATAGACAAGGAGTTATATTGGTTTGAATTGACATATGAATGATATGTATATCTATGTAATGATGATAATATAATAAAAGTTGTTGTCAGCGGGTGATTATGTGGTGGTAGACAATAACCAAAAGAAATATTTTTAAAATAAGTCTGATTATAAATATTTATATATAGTGTTAGAAAAAGGAAAGTATATAAACCGTGCTCAAATGGGAAATAATATAGTATAAGAAATGTAATAAGGAAATGTGAAAATATATGATAAGATACTAAGTGGTTATGTATGAGTGTCATAAAATTTTATGTTATAAAGATAAGTCGGTTAAATTTTAAATTAGGCAGTTTTAAATTATGATATGAAATAGTATTAAATTGCCTATATATTGAGTGATATCAGGTGTAAATTGGAAATTAAAATATTACATCATAATTTTAAGCGGTTAAATAGTCTGATAATAAGTGTTTAAATTAGGATATTTTAAAAGAAACAAATTTATCACTCTTTCAAACAGTAACAGTTAAATAGAAACATGTGATATCCTTAACTTGTATTTGAAAATGAATGCGGGTTAAGGGTGTTACATTGATTCTCTAAACTATGATCTTATTTCTAATTCAGTCTCTAAACTTTTGAATATTCTAATCCTAAATTTATCCAAATATGTAATTAATATCAATCAAAATTTAACCTAAATTTCATTTTATTGACAAGGTATATGATTAGTATATAAATATAGGTTGGGGTGAAACAAGAATGTTCAAAAAGTTTGAGGACCAATTTAGAATGAAGGTTATAGTTTGGGGATGAATTTAGAACATTTAAATAATTAGGGACACTTTGAAATAAGGGTCATACTTTGAGGATATGTGATGCAATTAACTATTTAAATAATTATTCATACAATTATCGGATATTAATTTCGTACAAAAATATTTTTGTAATATAATTATATGTAGAAGGTAAAGTACACAAATTATCCCGCATTATTTTGTTAAATTCATCGATTATTAAACGTTATAAAACGGTCTATCGTCTATAGGATTTTTTATGTTGAATCACTCGACTATTAAAAGTTAAAAAATTGTCACTTTTCTATTAATATGTTCTAAACTATCATTTTCGTTAAAAAATTAACTTCGTCTGAGCTGGACGTTAACATGCTAAATAAGATATGATAAAATATGATCTTATAAATGTTTGAGCTTTATTTTGTGGATCGACTATCAATTTACATTATGTTGTCTATATGGTACTTGAAACATTATGTTATTGAGCCAGCACTTGAAAGCAACGACGATACCAGTAGACATCATTAAAATATGATTTTATTATATCTCAGTCAGTAGATTAACATCCGACTCGTACGATTGTCAAAATTTTTATCGAAAAATAACGAATTTGGAACATATGAATAATCAGACATCTATTTTCAACTTTCAATAGTCGGAGGACCATTTGTATAATTTACCCTATACACATATAAAGAAATTTATCAAATATGTGTTGGTACGAACCATACAAAATTTAATCTCTTAATTAAGATTTTAGATTTGAATTGAATTAAAAAAAGTAAAGTACACAAATAATTTCTTAAAAATAGAATAATATTTTATTAAATCCTTTGACTATTAAAATTTATAAAATGATATTTTAATTTAAGAAAATTATTTTATTGAGTTGATTGTTAGAAGTTACAACACCCAACTATTGAATGGTTTAATTCTACTCGATTTCTGATATAATAACAATTCATCTTATTATAAAATGGTAAATTATGCATTTAATACATAAACTATCAGTTTTGATCCGTTTTAGTACTTAAACTTTCAAAAAAATTTAAAACCATACCTAACGTTTAGTTTTTGTTTCATATTAGTATTTCGTCGTTAAAAACTTAACGGGTGATTTGCATGTGACATTTATTTTATGGGTAAATTGCATCATTCATCACTAAACTATCTTATCACTACCATTCGATCACTAAAGATTAATTTTTTTAATTTAATTACTTAACTTTCAAATTACTCTTAATTTAATCACACTAACTTTCAAATTTATTTTTTTATTTTTAATTATATATTAATAAAATAATAAAAAATTTCATATCTCAAAAAATATTAATAAAAAAATTATAGTGATTAAAATAGGAACAATTTGAAAGTTGAGTAGTTAAATTGAAAATTTTCAAACTTTAGTACCAAAATAAGAGTGAGAATACAATTGAGAGATGAATGATGTAATTTACCCATAAAATTGCGGTAATTAAGTTTTTAACGGCGATGTACTAAAACAAAACAAAAACAAAATGTTTGGTATAATTTTAAAAATTTGAAAGTTTATGTATTAAAACGGATAAAAATACATAATTTAGGTACTAAACACATAATTTACCCCAAAAAATATGAAAGAGAAGGTTACTTTCCTAAATACTAGCCGGTGTGTGGGTAAACTACACGGGATACCACCAAACTATGGTCATTAATCAATCTTGCCACCGAACTATTTTTTGTCTCAATTCGACCATCAAACTTTTTAATTGATTCAATCAGACCACCACACCGTTAATTTTAACAGATTTGGTGACGTGTCTGTTAATAAAATTGGTATAATTATATATTTGGTCCTTAATATTTACATATTCTATCAATTTAGTCACTATTTTAATTCAATTAAATAAATTTAACTATTCAATTAGAACATAACACGTGTCAATACATAATTAGAAGGTTTTATTTATGGATTTTAAATTATTTAATTAACTGAGTTTTTAACCAATCAGATGGTGACACGCGTCATCACCCAATTGAAATGGAAAATAAAAGAACACAAATATGCGCGGAGAATCGAACTTGCATTAATGGGGAGAGTAACCAAGCGCCCAAACAGTTGGGCCAAAGCTCCCCAATGGTTCTAACTTACAATAATTTGTATTTGACTTGTACAAGTTTGTTAATGATAAAAAAAATTAAACAAATTATTTGTTTAAACAAATTATTTTTTTCTTTAACCGTTAATCGAACCAAAATTTATTTGAAAATTATTAACCGAACCAAATTAACTAATTTGTTTTCTTTAACATTAATCAAACCAAATTATTTGACCGTTAATCGAACCGAAATTTATTTGAAAATTATTAACCGATTTTTTTCTTTAACCATTAATCGAACCAAAATTATTTGACCCTTAATCGAACCCAAATTTATTTGAAAATTATTAACCGAATTAACCTAATAAAATAAATTATTTTTCTTTAACCGTTAATCGAACTGAAATTTATTTGAAAATTATTAACCGAACCAAATCAACTGATTTTTTTTCTTTAACCATTAATCAAACTGAAATTATTTGACCGTTAATCAAATCGAAATTTATTTGAAAATTATTAACCAAATAAAATAAATTATTTTTTCCTTAACCGTTAATCGAACCGAAATTTATTTGAAAATTATTAACCAAATCGAATTAACCGAATTTGTTTCTTTAACCATTAATCGAACCGAAATTATTTGATCGTTAATCGAATCGAAATTTATTTGAAAATTATTAACTGATTAACGGTTAATTTGGTTTGATTAATAATTTTCAAATACATTTCGATTCGATTAACGGTTAAAAAATAATTTATTTAAACAAATAATTTGTGTAATTTTTTTATCATTAACAAACTTTTACAAGTCAAATACAAATTGTTGTAAGTTAGAACCATTGGGGAGCTTTGGCCTAACCATTTAGGTCCCTGGTTACTCTCTCTCTTAACGCAAGTTCGATTCTCCCTGGGCGTATATTTGTGTTCTTTTATTTTCCATTTCAATTGGGTGGTGACACATGTCATCACCTGATTGGTTAAAAAATTAGTTAATTAAATAATTTAAAATTAATAAATAAAACATTCCAATCATGTATTACCACGTGTTATGTTCTAATTAGATAGTTAAATTTATTTAATTGAATTAAAATAGTTACTAAATTGATAGAATATGTAAATATTAAGGACCAAATATATAATTATGCTAATTTTATTAACGGACATGTCAGCAATTCTGTTAAAATTAACGGTACGGTGGTCTGATTGAATCAATTAAAAAGTTTGATGGTCGAATTGAGACAAAAAATAGTTTGATGGCAAGATTGACTAATGACCATAGTTTAGTGGTCTCCCGTGTAGTTTACCCTATATATATAAGGTGAGTAATGGTATGAGGCCCACAATCCATCGCCATTTCCTCTCCATCCCTTCTCCCCACCCCCCCTCCAAAAAAAAAAAGCAAAAACCCCTGAATTTCTCTCATTATTATCTTTCGTTTTTCTAATCTATTTCTTCTCTTATTGATTTCCTTCGTGAGAGCAAAAAAACAATGGCCCAAAGAGCCGAGAACGAAGAAACGGAGTTCAAGGTACCAGAAACGATGACGCTTTGCGTCAACGATTGTGGCGTTACAGGAAATCCGGCCACCAACAACATGTGTCAGAATTGCTTCACCGCCGCCTCCGTCGCCGTCGCCAGTTCCCAGACGTCGAGATCCGCGCCGTCGCGTTCGTCGAACAAGCGATCCGAATGTTCACCGCTGAAAACGGCGCCGTTTTTACGGACATCGGGGACGGAGAAGAAGGTTGTGAACCGGTGTTCCGGTTGCAAGAGGCGAGTCGGTTTGACCGGGTTCCGGTGTCGATGCGGCGAGCTTTTCTGCGTCGATCATCGGTATTCGGATCGACACGATTGCGGCTACGATTACAAGACGGCGGGACGCGAGGCGATCGCGAGGGAGAATCCGGTGGTTAAAGCGGCAAAGATAATCAAAGTCTGAATCGTTTTCTCTCGGAAATCTTAGCTAAGCTTCTGAGATCGATGCTCGATCTCAAAGATTGTTTCAAAAGATCAAATCAATAGATTCACGTCAAGATCGTTGAAGATGAACAAGATGACTCTTTTAGCTGTTCCTTCCTTTTCCATTTTTTTCTCTGAAAAATCAATCGTGGGTTAGGATTTTCTGACATTTTTATTTTAGAATTTGGCTTCAGATTCAACTTCTTTTAGATTGTTTGTTTAAAAATTATAAATTTGTTGAAATTGATTCTTATGAAATTTGTCTTGAAAAGAAATATTATTCTAAATTTTGAATATTTTTAGTGTTTGATAGGAGATTTTGTGTTAAGAAGTTGAAAAAGATTATATTTATTTATATAAACAAATGGGATTAAAAAAATTAAAGTTGAATACTTATTGAGCAATAATCACAATATAATATCTATTTTTAATTGAGGGGCTAATAGAGTTTAATTTATTTATTTTTTAAAATATATCAGTAAATATTAAAAAAAATAATTGATAAAATGTCATACTACTGTTGGTCCATGCGACGTGTTACCCTTAAATGCTAACTTTTTAAAATTGACTTTTGGTGTTTAAATAATTTTTTTTGATAAAAAATAAGTATTTAATGTTTTCTTTGTACATATTTAAGTCTATACCATTAAAAAAATCATTGTCACATTTATATTTTTTAAATAAAATATTATTTAAAAATATTATTTTAAATATTGAATGTGACACATATAAATTAACGGTTTTTAACGATAGACACTTAAAATTATAACGAATAAAATATTAAACACCTATTTTTAACAAAAAAATCTAAACACCAAAAATTAATTTAAATATAATTTAGACAATTATTTTTATAATAATTCTCGTAGAATTAAATAAATAATGTTGCACATTATCGTCCTTCCCAAGCTAACTTAGTATAGTCAGGAGACTTAATTTAAATATAATGTGACAATTATTTTTGTATTAATTTAGACAATGTGACAATTATTTTTGTATTAATTTAGACTTAATATAATTTAGACAATTATTTTTTACTAATCCTCATAGAATTAATAGTTGAAGAACTCAATAAAATAATACTTTATAATCAAAAAATTATTTTATAAATTTTAATAATTAGGAGATTTAATAAAATAATACCTTACACTATGAGGATGGTTTGCATTATTTACTCTTTGGGTGCGGGGCGCCTTGGGGATCATTATGCCTTATAATTTTGGGATGTGAAGCATCATTTAAGGGAAAGGTTGCTCCCTTGCGGACGGCATCATCATCGTCATGGTATTTATTTACTAATATATTATAATCTTTTCATCATCATCGAGCATGGCACCAAAAATATTATATAAATAAATTAATCTAATATCAAGCATCATATCGACATTTATATTGAGATTTATTATTGTGATATTTACACGAATCAAATTATCTTGACGATTTCGATCACATCATATATTAAAAATATTTAAGTATTTATTATCAGATTAATTAAAAATTTTGAATCAAATATTATTTTATAATCACTTTTAGATTAATAAAAAAAATAATGACGGTAAAACTGAATATTAATATTATCATCAAAATTTATGGTAAAATATGAATTTAGCTATACATTTGTGATAATAACATTTTTTAAAGAATAAATTACAAGTGAACTTACTATTTTCTATTTTATTTACTGTACTTTTAATTTACTCACTGAATTTTATATATTAATATTTTTGTCACTCTGTCGTTAAAATAATTAACGACGTTATGACATGACAACTTATATAAAAAAGATGTCATTTTTAATTCATGAAAAAAATTAAATTTAGAATAAAAACATCGTTTTGATTAAATACGACCATATTATAACACTGTTAATTATTTAACAATAAACTGACCATAAAAATTCAATCCATAAAATTCAATGAATAAATTGAAAAAAAATTAAAGTACGATTAATGAAATAAGAGGTAGAATAAAATTCAATTGAAAAACGCGTAATTTACACTTTTTAAATTTTATAATGAGAAATAATTTGACAAACGTGTAATTCATGAAAAATAATTCGATAATGAAAAATGACTTGCTTATCAATAGAAAATAATTTGAGATAATGACATTACGCCTATAGTCACAAACAGTGTTTACTATCGATCTTACACTACCCATCAAATAATGTTGCAAAACAAAACGAGATTATCTTATTTTAAAGGTAAATTACACACGTTTAGTACCTAAATTATCGATTTTAGTATCTAAGCTTTTAATTTTATTTCAAAATCATACTTAAAATTTTAGTTTTTATTTCATTTTAGTACCTACCGTTAAAAACTTTAAATTTTGTTCCATTATAGTACTCAATCAAAATTTAAAGTTAAATTTTGAAAAATTTGAAAGTTTAAGTACTAAAACGGACCAAAATTGATAGTTTGGTATTAAATGCACTAAGTTTTTAACGACATGTACTAAAATGAAATGAAAACTGAATGTTAGATATAGTTTTGAAAAAATTAAAATTTTAGGTATTAAAACGAATCAAAACTAATAGTTTATGTACTAAATACATAGTTTATACTATTTTAAAATGGAATAATGCAAGAATTAACCACAACGTTAACCACAAGCATCACTTTAACCCTTATTCTTGAAGCATTTTATTCCCAACATTTCATTTTAAGTAAAAAGACCCCTAAATTGAATCAAATTATCATTTTCGCTTTTATTCTTTTTTTGAGCATTTTGACCATCTACATTTCATTTTTAGGTAAAAAGACACGTATTTTAGAGTGTTAACTATTTGTTAACTAATGATTTCCATTCGTAGAGGATTTTTTTTGTCCGAAAATGAAACATGGAGGGATAAAATGTTCTAAAAAGAGAATATGGACCAAAATAAATAACCATATTGGGGTCTAATTTTGATATTATGCCTTTTAAAATCTTACACTACGCAAACCAAACGTGCCCTCAAGTGATATTATAAGCTATAAGGAGGCGTTATCAACATAAGAGCAGGGTAATTTGCTATAAATGTATGTAGACATAGCAAATAAAAGCCACCCAATGAACAAACATAACAAGTAGCCAAAAATCAGACATTCATTCTAACGTTTCTCGTTGTCGGTGTCAACAATGATTCTCTTAAACGACGACGTCAATCGAACAGAATGTAAAGAACGAAAACACCCTAATACTATACTACTGACTATGGTGCTTCGACTTCGAATAATATTTAAGGTTTGGAATTTTGGTTTTGATAGCTTTCAAGAGATAAAAACATGCATATAGGAATTCAGACTTGAAAAGAGTAACCAGCAAAGGAATGCCATAAGCTCAATTTGAAGACGGACCAGATCAGGCTCCATCTGGCTGGATGAAAGGATTGTCAATCTCATCGGTTGGTGAGACCACCATAACCGCTGTGCCCCTACAAACCTGCATCGACATATGGACATATTGATCAACTTCAAATGCTATACCGTGTACGTATAGACACCTATAAACACTTCGGATTTCGTAAAATCCTATATCGATTGGCAATCTTATCTTCTTGACACTAACATTTTTCAACTGGATTCCACAAGAATATGGTTTAGACATGTAAACAGCCAAAATATTCTCAGGTCATTGGTTCAGGTCATAAAATCCATACGAATCCAGCAGAGAAAATTCATATATTGCTGGTGAAAATTTGGATTACTTCTCAAAATGGCACCATAAAATGAACAAAAAACTGTAGACGCCTAGTCTGATCAGTAGTCTTCAATGGATCATCCTGGTCTGCCGAGAATCCATAAATAGAAGAGCAATTCAATTTTTTGTTTCCATCAGATATATGAAACAATTTCAGAAAGAAAGTAAAGAAGATACCAAACTCTCCCAGAAGTTTCAAGTTTCAGTTTGCAACTGTCCACGCTCTTAATTGCTTACGTGACAAATAGAACTAGAGAACAGCAAGTTTCGGCCTACTGAGAATAACAATCGGCTAAATACTGATGCAAAAATTTGCTATAAAAGGTTTCATATAAGTTCAATTATTTGAACAGATCATCCAGATTCCATGTTGTTCAGCATGCAGCAAGCGTACACTATGCTTATAAAGGATTTGGCATAATGTAGCAACTACCGCAAGAATTTATCTGAAGGAGCAGGTACTAATTGCAGCATGGAGCAAGCATGTGTACCAGCAGAACTCTCAAAACATCCCCATCTTTGCCTCTATGAAGTAACGTAAGCACTATATGAAACTTATGGAACAGACTTCCGTTCTCTGTTTCCCGGGTACTTTTGAAGCTAATTTAAGGGTAGCAGGCAACAATCACATTGCAAATTGCAATTTTCAGTTTAAGAGGGCAAACTAAATCAGCAGCATATCCTACTATTTTTTTCATTTTTACTGGACAGAAAATGAAGATACACTTCTTTGTAGTGTAAGAGAATTGATGGTAAACAATACATAGAAGAATCATCAGAAGAGGAGGAGCAAAAGAGAAGGTGCCGAATAATTTATGCGAGGAAAACAAGTGAAACACTAGCATTGAACCTATGCTGCTCTGACCACGGTGAGACTTTAAAGATAAGGGACTTGGGTGAGAGTGTATGATAAGGGTATGTGTCCAATTACAATAAAAGTATGATCATATATTCTTTTTCCATGTATTTGGTGCCTCCTTGGAAAGTTAACATGGGTATATCAAGAAAAATGAACAATAAGGGCAACCTACCATGAAACTACAAACTGTTACATAGGTAATATAGTTACACCATCTACTTGACACAGGCCACTGTACCCAAAGAATATGGTTTGAAACCTAACATGATCTATTATACCACACCAATAAGCATGTTTAGAATGTGCCATACGCAATTACCTCGAAGAAACTCTACAGCTTCGTCCAGGACAAGATTTAGTAGCTGGTCATATCCTTTTAGGGTCCCTGTGACCGAAACAGAAAAAGAAAGGCTCATGAAATAGATTATACATATACTCAATCAAACGAATCATAGGAAAAGGAAAATGACCACCATGCATCTAGGGCACATGACGTGATGCAATACTTGGCATTAGAGCCCAATAGGTACTATTACTTGATGTGATAACATTAGATCCATGATGTCAAATTACGGTAGTTCTGTTGTGAGACGGAGAAACCTAAGGCTAATTTGCGGCAAGTTTTAACCTAAAATGTTACTCTCTCTACTCTAAAAAGTTGGACAATTGATAATAATTTCTGTTGAAGCTGAGAATATTACATTGCAGCAGGTTTTAACCTTTCTTGACGGTAACATTTTAGGTTGCTACTAGAATACTAATGCAATTTACATGATCGGGGAATGTAATATTTGCAGTTTAAACCTAAATTACTCTACAGAGTTATGCAATATTGCAATTGGCAATTCTTTAGCATCACTCATAATCTAAATTCAACAAAACATTCGATTCTTGATTACATGTTATAATGGTCGTACCTTAAGACCCACTGCAACTTCTAAATATGTTGATATAAATGTGTGACCAATTTAATAAAAACTGTTAGTTTTGAAATATCAATGAAGATAAAAGAAATATTAATAAAAACTATTGACATAGTTTTATCACCCCAATAACATTGTTAATAGCGAGTGACCAATAAAATTGTCATTTATTTTTCGGTTATGTGAATTTTATCGTTCTGTTTTTGTGTTGTTATAATGGTCGTACCTTAAGACCCACTGCAACTTCTAAATATGTTGGAAGCTTTTACTTGTCCAGCAGTGACTGCTTCCTGTCAATAGCGTTTTAAGCGTCGTTTGGATTCTCTTTGCCAATGGAGAAAGGAATGCCATCTAGCCTTTTTGTTAATGATGGTTCCTTCATGGAGAGGTTTAAGCAGCTTCAACAACAGAAGTATGACAAAGACAAGGCTGCAGCATTAGAGGAATCTAAACCACCCAATGTTGTAAGAGAGTCTTCAGCTGTCGAGCTTTTTGTTGCTTTTAATAAAGTAGCCTCGGAACGGAAGACTGCCCAAACTCCGGGAGGCAAACTTGCCTTCAGCTTGAAACGGAAATCGAAGCTTGTGGCACCTCCTGTTAAGTTGGATGCAGATGACGATGAAGAGGACCAGGATGCAGGAAAGTTGGTAGATGATAAACCAATTAAAAGAAAAAAAAATTGGCTCGAACCGATCCCTCTGAACAAGCTTTAAAACAAGTGGATGTTGGTAATTACTGTTTTTTAATTGCTGTGTTGCTGTTGGTGATGGTTGGTACTCGAGGATTTTGCATGCTTAGGTTGCATGTCGGATACATTTCCATCTAGAATGGGCTTATGAATGTTTGGATTACCTTTTATTTTGCTTGCTCACCTACTTAAATAGAGGTCTAGATAAATAAAAAAAATTCTCTTCCCGTAAAGGAACAATTAATGGGTGTCTAGGTTAAATAGTCCTCTTCATGAACTGCTGTGGTTTATGAAGTCATCTGGTCATCTTCTCTGATCTTAAAGTGGTTGACGAAGAGGGCAAAACGTTCTTGAATTTTTCTTCTCTCATGAATGCAGCTTATATCTTAATTACCAATCAACATTGGTGGAAAAGGCTCTCTCTCAGAGGACAAGGAACAACAAACTCCTCAAAGTGGTTAGTAACTTTTCCCCCTTGACCATTCTCTCAGATGGGAACTCTTTGGATCAGTATGATCTAACTACAAACTTTTTGTGGCAGTTTTATCTGATTTAAAAAGTTACTTTTGCTATTATTTATTTCTTGCCACTCAATTTTCTGTTCTACACCAGATAATAAATATTGAAGTTACTAGTCGTGTACCATTAGACTCGGAAAGGGCTTCGTTAATCTTAATAATTTAAGAATTGTTCAATATTTGAAGGTGATATGTCTTGTTCTTCTGTAATGACATGATTAATGCTTTATGTTGTACATGCATTTCAGCTTCCAAGTCCACAAGCAGCTCTATTAGGGCTGTTCCACACCAATGAAGTTATCAAACACCTGCCTGTGCTTTGTATGATAGTGATGAGCCTAGATCTTCCATGGGAAGAGCAGGTGATGATGCATGAGATATTTGCTTTCAATTTTTTTATTGTATCAATGAGTTTTGGCTTTCTTTGGCTTCAAATGACTTGGTTTATCATGTTCTTGTAGTAAAAAATTATCATTCATTCATTTCTCCATCATATTCTTCAAATGTCTACTCTATGGAACGTCTGTCTGTTTAAAGGTTGTTAATGATTTTTTATCAAAATAATCTGAAAAGTGTTATTGTCCTGTTATTAGGTTTAATAGTAACTGTTCTTTTTATTTTTTTTGGCCAGTCTATACCTATGATTGTTGGGTAATGATATACATCATGTTTTCCTGTTAAATAATCCTTCTAGAGTGGAATTTGATATAAACAACCATGGAGTATTATCAAGTTGCAATGGCATATACGACATCAACAGGCATTAGTAATAGACAGTTTTGCTTGCCTGATGTTTTATACATGCTTTTCTGTGGTGGAGGCTCATCCACTGCACCGTCAGGTGCGGATCCTAGTGCAATGATGGAATTTTACATGAAGAAAGCTGCTCAGGAAGAGAAGATGAGAATGCCTAAGCAGTCCAAAGATGAGATGCCACCACCTCCTTCCCTTCAAGGTGAATCTTTATCCTGATTGAATTGTGTGTATGCGCTCACATGGACACGCTGTGTTTTCTTTTCCTTCTAAACTGAATTTCCCCTTCTGTTGGCTTAGCAGCTCTTGCGAAGAAAGGTCATCACATGGGGGAATATATCCCACAGGACGAGCTTGAAAAGTTCTTGGCTGCCTGCAATGCTGCTGCTGCACAAAAAAGCTTCAAAGGAGACTGCGCAGAAGGCAAAGATCCAATCTGATAATGTCGGGCATAAACCCTTGTCGAAAATGGGTTGGAAAGAAGGTGATTTATCTTCTGTCTTTAATATGTATGTTTGCTCATGTCTGGCATGGCATTTGTTAACCAAAAGTTTGGAGCTCAAGGATAAAATGAGCACATAAGAACTGAAAGCTAAGGTAAATCGTCTTGAAAAAGGTTTTAAATGCTAGTGGCAATAATCCTCTGTATCTCGCAATCAAGTGAGGCTGCAAATGCTGGCATCTTTTCTTGTTTGTTTTTCTTCGTGGTAGTATTGTTTGTCAGATTGCTTGTGTTCATGCTGTCAGCCTATTAGAGGTGATATTATTTTTCTTGGCCAAAATTTCTTCGGATGGCGATTTTCCTTTCAACTTTATTCACTGCAGACTAGCGAAACATGCTCGATTTCTATCATGTATAGGTGCATCCATTTTCTCCCCATAAAGGGAGAAGTTTAATATCTTGGCCGCTGCATGGTTTACAGGTGATGGTTTTGGGAGTTTGAGGAAAGGAATTTCAGATCCGATCATGGCTGGGGATGTAAAGATGAACAATTTGGGGGTCGGCGCTCATAATCCTGGAGAAGTGACCCCAGATGACGACATATACGAGCAATACAAGAAGAGAATGATGCTTGGCTATCGATACAGACCAAATCCCCTGGTAATTTTATCTTTTCCTTTACGGACAATGGCGTGATTCATAAGTAGATGGTAATATTTTTGCCTTGAATCGATCTAATAACACACACACACACACATACATATATATATATTTGTAGAACAATCCTCGAAAAGCATACTATTGAACACAGTTGTGGAAAGATATCAACTTGTGTGGACTGTGGAATAACTAAAAAAAAAGCTTAAACGTGCTTATCGCATTATCATATGTTATAACATATTTATGTAGATATTTGTTTTTCTTTTATGACAGGTTTCCATTCTCTGTGGGATTAGATCAAACTTCATTTCGTTTATTCAGTGTTCAATGACAAATTTTGTTTCTGTTTTTTGGAAAGAAAAAAAAAATCAAATGGCGATTCAATAATCATTGCATAGAGTTTTGCTATTTTTCAAAATTCGAGGGTTGATACCGAAATTACTTTTTCAATATCGACAGTCTCAAATTTTAAAAATGTCATATTTTAGTCCTTTTGATGTTTAATAATGCATTATAACATAAGTATGTTATTTTAGTCTTCAAAGTGATGAAAGGTGATTGCATGGTAGATTAGAAGTCTGATTTATATATATATATATTCTGTATTTGGTGTTCGAACACAATAGCTCAAGTAATATATTCTGTATGTGGTGTTCGAACTCAAGATCTTAAGTAATAGTAACAAGTCTTTTAACCATTAAGGTCAATTGATTCATATTAATAGATTTCGATTGATTTTTTTTATTAATCTTGGGGAAGTATATAAGGTAGTATTTGTTCAAAGATAACTTTCAACATTTGTCATTAGACGTTCATATCCTTAGCATTTACAATATTTGAACTTGGAACTTCAAAGAACAATAATAATTCTTTTACCATCGAAATCATTTGGTGTGTGCTAAATTTCAGTTAAATTTGAATATGTTAATCGACAGTAGTGGAATTAGACTGAAAAAAAATATGGACCAAACTCAATTTTGTGATTTTAAAGCTCGAAATGACTGATATAATTAGACCGTTTCTCTTTCTTGGCATAAAGATTTCTTGGCATACAGACAGAGGTCGAGTCTTTTTTACTTTTCTAGAAAGGTTAATGTGGTTTTCAAATTATTTTTTTCTCTTAATGAGGTCTTCTAATTTAGAAAATAAGTCAAATGTGACTCATTGACTAATATCTCTAACTCAAAAAATAAATTAAATGTGGTCTAATCTGTGGCAATTCACGGTGTTAACATGAAAGTCTATGGTGGTTGATAACGTGATGAATAACGTGATGAATAACGTGATGAATGAGCTAAATTGGTAATTCAAACATGGCAGATAGACTGTCATATTAGCACCGTAAACTGTTATGTCATATTACCCGACCCGGATACGAGTCTGAGATGTCACATTGACTTTTTAAAACAATATTCCTAATAAAATACATATCATTTGGACTTATATTAAGAAAATATGATAATATATTGTTGAAGTATGTTTGTTATAACCAATTTAAGAAAATATACGTTTTATGAATAGTACTATAGGGTATGAACATTACCGAATGCTAAAATTTTTCCATATTGCTACAGGGGTATCG